CACACGTGTCGCACTCCAGCGCTCCGTTCGACGTCGGTCTGAAATTGCCATTTTTCGAGAACAGAGGTGCGCAATTCTATCTACGTTATAAAATAAAAGCACAAATAAAAACGCAAGGATAAATAATGACAAATAAAACACGGGAAACTGGATAGTTGGCCGGTTTGAAGTGGCAATATCCGGAGAAAATTCGACTAGATGTTGCTTTTCCTGTATTCTCCAAAAATGAAATGTTATCATTTTGTTAAAATTCTGACCTGCAATGTTCTACGGAATTGAGCGCGGTTTGCTCGCAAAAGTTCTTTGCTGGTGAGATGATAACATTACTTCTTTACGATCTTTACGATGAAAAAGAAATGTTTGATATTTGTAACTATAATCACATAGAGAAGTATTTGCTATAAATTATGGAAGAAAATCACTTTTCTATTAAATATTGCTATAATGCTAGTGATAATAACTTTATGTCACCACTACCGTTTTCGTGCTAGTACAACGAAAAAGTATGTTTGGAACCAAAAATAACTATAATTTTAGTTGAATCGATTACTTTTTTATCTCAGTGTAAGAATAAATTTTCTAAAGCACGATTGATTTCTAGATAAGCTGGAGAATGTTACCATGACGCTTGAATTCGACGCCGAGTGAGTCAAAAGGTATTCTCGGCTCGTTCATGGATTTCAAGTGCCGCTTTTAAGATTGGCATAATCCGGAAACTTGCTGGAATCGACGTAAATATTTGCCATTCAAAAGAGTGGGCGGACTACGTTTAAATATCGATGACAGCGGGTACCGAGGTATACCGCGCCGATCATGAAATATTGACCGATTTTTGCGCATTCGCGGGTCGGCAGGCTGCCGGCAGAAAACGCAGGGAAATTCGCCGGCGAAAATGTTGAAAACGCGCAATCGAAAACACGGGCGACGCTCGCTTCGAAAATCCGATACAGACGGAGCTCGTTCGTTTAAATAATCTCTACATTGTATTTATCGACGTCACTTTTTATCGGTCGCAAGCGACGCGACGCGGCTTTCAAAATCGAGAATTTTTCCCGATTACAATGGCAAATGCGTGCGAAGAGGTCAGAGATCGGTGTGTCGGAAAAAAATATACGGCAGCGATCCCACAATTTCTCACGATTATACGAGTGTCCCGAGTGCACACGAGGCGCGGACCAGAATCTCAAAAATGTCGAAGAAAATAATTCAACGAATAACGAGAGAACGAAGTTTCAACGAGAAAAATTTTACATTGCTTGTATTGATGTATCATTTAAAAAATACAGTTATTCAGATAAGAAAAAGAATTACTTTTACTATTAATTAAAGAGAATTAGAAATTGTAGCATTAAAGAAATTAATGTTAACTCGTACTCGCTATCTTTGAGCTTCTTCTTTCACTTGAGCACAATTTTATTCTAATTTAAATTCTATATAAACGATCTTAAAATTTCTCCAAAAATTACTTGACACGATTACTGCAAAATAATAAGAAGCCTTTTTTGAACAGCTTCGATAAATTCTCCGAACCGATCTATAATTTTTAATTGCGTCAATTGTACAAATGCAATGGCGGATTATCGGAACGTTGAAATGTAATTTTAAGTTTGCTCTCTCTTCCCCTCTCTGTGTCCCTCTTTTACTTTCCGCCAAGTTCAGGATTAAGAGATTCCCTTCGGAAGGGTTGAGATTTCATCGGAAAATTTCGGACAGGTTGACGCGCGGTAGAAGCGTGCGCGTCACTTTTCACCCATCACAAAGGGGCCATTAACAAAATCCGCGTAAGCCGTGAAGTGTTCGATGCACCGCTTTTTGTGGTCGAGGAATGCCAGACAAATCGCATTTTCGCGATCACAAAACGTACAAAGAGAGTCCACGGCAGGCGTGTGGCTCCTCGTGCATTTTCACGCTAAATTTGCTCCGACAGGCACGACAATGAGAAAGAGAGAGAGAAAGAGAGTCGCCTAAACGGTCGGCTTTCCACTGTAGAAATTTGGCCATTAGACTCCATTGACGGGTTAACCCCCTTTTACATTGCTTGATAATCCCATGGCCCTTCGGACACCCGCTTTGCGCGTCGGGGTCGTGGACCCTTAAATCCCGTACGTGGTCGTGTGATCCAAGACGACATTTAGGTTCTATATTAAGCCTGTGAATATCGTCGAATTCGTAGGTCAGCGAAGAATCTCGAAATTATAGTGTTTATATGCAGAATTATTGTATTTCTTTGATGCTACAAATCGTAATTTATTGCCATTTTTTCCATATGGAAACCTAACGAAGAATCTGCCGAGACCGCTTACCCAAGTCGAAATTTTGATTCTACATTAATCCTGCAAATTCTGTCAAACTTGAAGAATTAATGAAGAATTTCGAGATGTTTGAATAAGCTATTGACTTACTTTGATGCTGCAGATAACATGCTTTGTTAACTGCTATTTTTTTCATGTCGAAGAAGTCCGAAGAAGTACTCATTGAGAAATTATTTAATAAGGATGTATTGTTCATATGTCGAAAAATATATATGATGAAGACTTTGAAAAATTTATAGATTAATCATAATATTACATTTAAAAATGATCCTAAACAATTTGAAATCGATTCAGAGTCTAAATAAAAAGTTATTCTATTTTGAAGTATAATTAAACATGATAATGTCAAATCAAATGATGTTTTAATAACGAATTAATAACATCAATAATTTCTAACATCAATAATATACCATCAATACATCATTTGATGTCATCCTGCCACTGTATTTTAAACTGGGTTGTTATGGAAATATATAATATTGACTCAGCAAGGGAGAAGATAATTAAAAAATAATAACATCTCAATTTTTGTGTAAATATATTTTAAATATTCAAAATAGTACAAATTTTTCATCGTGATTCCGAGATAAAAATTTAAAATTTAGAAATAATATTAAATGAAGTGAATAAACTATGAAAATGTAATGTTAAAGAATAAAAATATAATATTACTTACACACAATAATATTATACGACACACGATACAGTTAAATAATATTATATTTTTATTTTTTAACATTACATTTTCATAGTTTATTCACTTCATTTAATATTATTTCTAAATTTTAAATTTTTATCTCGGAATCATGATGAAAAATTTGTACATACTATTTTGAATATTTAAAATATATTTACACAAAAATTGAGATGTTATTTTTTAATTATATACATACATATATATATATATATATATATATATATATATATATATGTGTGTGTGTGTGTGTGTGTGTGTATGGGCAAAACGTCCTTAATGTTTGAACTTTTTATTTAGTTGAAATTACTTTATTTATTTTTTAATTATTTAATATTTATTTTAATATATTTTAACAGAATTTCATTCATAGGTTGCGGGTTACTTGGAACAGTTGCGATTCGACGATGTAGATTCGAAATCCAATATTCGATATTTTCGAACAAATGAATGATAAAATCTAGAAACGTACGACGCGATCAAAGTCGTCTATTTTCTTCGCAGAAAAAATATTGGAAAAATTAAGCGTCCGGATGCATCGAATACAGAAACCAATTATATAGGTTATTCAGCGATTTTTCAATCAAAAACGCAAGATCAAAATATGAATCACAAGCTATTCCATCTCAACACCCACCTTAGATAGATGGCTTAATAGTAGACAGTTTTTAGTACCCACCTTTAGGTTACCTAACTTCCCCAATGTTTCTCCCTTCGCGAAGGAAATGTCGCAAAATTGTCTACACGCAAGTGTATTCGATGCATAAAAACTACTCGCTCTTTTTTCTTTTTCTTCTCTTTCTTTTCTCTTTTTATGAAAGTTTCGATGAGATTTGTAGCTCCTAAGAGAGCCGATATAAAGCTGTAGAACCAAAAATAACAGTTATGTGTCTAATAATGCTGTTTGTCAGTAGCGATTTAACTTTAACTTAGGTACAATAACAAAGCGCCATACAAAAGCAAAAGAAGTGTTGGTCGAGATCGGATTCATGGCTAAAGAAGTATTATTAGACGTGAAAATCAACACTTGCGACATTTATATTATATTCTAAGGCCGGTATTCATAGAGCTTTAAATTATTTCCGATCTTTGATTGAGGAAATAATTATAGATTTATATTCACAGAACGTCACTCAGCTGTTCAATTAATATTCGGATCAATATTTCTTTTATGAAATAATGTAATAAATATAGATATAGATTGAATATTAACTATAAAAATTAATGAAGCTATAATTATATGTCGAATGATGACAAACTATGAATGCCAGCCTAAATATTGACTTGGGTATTTCTTTATTCTCAGCAAGTTCCTCGAACGCGCTAAAAACGGAAACCTCCTATATAATAAATGATTTGGCATACCTCGAAAATATATGACGAATCTTGTCTCGGCGTCCTGCATTTTCCATGTTCTCCACGTTCTGGTTTCTCTACCCAACATCCCGACTGTTTCGTCGTGGCACTGACACTGACACTAACACTTGCGTAGACACGATTCGATCGAAGATACGTGTTATGTAACGCGATGCCGATAAAAGACTAATTAAAAGTATCTCAAAAGACGAAATAATTTGATCGTCTGATAATAAATAACCTACCAACATATGTAGTACGTGATATGCGTGTCGCTTGCCGGCCCGGAACTAAATGGAATCAGAAAAATCCGTGAGACCCATAAACGTCGATTTGAATTGCTTAAAGGTCCCGGATGTTTTGATTGTCTATCGCTCGCCGCTCATTGATAAGCGACGGTTGACAATAGGAGAGGATGCGTGTGTTTACATTTCTTGCCAATGATTCTAACATTCTCACGCGTCGCACACATTTTTTTGTAACCGAGAGTTATGTTGTATGTGTTGTAAACAAAATATTATAGGAATCCAAGAAAAATGACGGAAAGAAAACAACGTGACAAAAACAGACAAAACGAAACATAAATTTCTATTCGTCTAACACCGTTATGTCGATATGTCGAGTAGCATGGCAGTAGCATGACAAAGATGACAGTACTCTCCAGCCTTTTACAACAGATTTTAAATTTCGACTCGAGGAGGGTCGCGGAGAT